GAGAGCAAATTAGTTCAAACAACTCACTGTTTAGGACTTTAAGGTTATCTGATTACATGTAAATGCTACAAAGGTGGGCCATTTCAATGCCATTTTAATGCCATTTGACAGAATTTGTCAGCTCTTAACAAAGTCTGGCAATCTGCAATTTGATGCTGCCATGAGATGAGCCCCAAAAAGGCAAAACAACTGTGACCAATATACAGGTGCAAGGAAACTATGACATTCTGTAAAATGTCAAGGGAACGGTCTCGAAATACTATGACATCATATGCCAAACACAGACAAAGAGGAACAACAGCCAAGCTGTCAATAGAAATTACCAACACACAGTACATAGTAGGTATGACAGAAAACAAGAGAAAGTATGTGAGATGGTTGACAGATGCAGCCTAATATATCCCAGTGTTGATGCTAGCGGTGATGATTTTGACTTTCCCAGCTAAACAAACACGCATTTAGCTGTTACTGTGTAATATGGAGCTTTCCACAAATCACAGCTGCCTCTGTTCATGCTAGCCTTTCTGCCCTTTTCCCGTTTGGACACCTATCCTTCTGCTGGCCTGTCACTGACCCCACTCCATTTCCTAAAAAAAAAAATGCAACTCCCACATTGTCCTCGGCCCTCATTTTTGCAATGCTTGGCCCCGTTTCTCCCTCACTAACTACTTCACCCCGAACCCCGTCAACACCCGTACCTGACCCAAACACTCACCCTGCTTCCCCCTCCCAAAACAGCAGCCAGCAGACACTGAACAGGGCCGCCGCACCTCCTTGGAGAAGTTCACCCGCAGTGTGGTAAGTCATTTGGAGCTGGGGCTGTTCATATCACAAACCACACTGGCTGGCTCACTATCAGTGGCTTTTTTGCAATTATAACCATATTACACTCTATTATGGCTCTTTATACTTGTAATAGGATGTGTATTTGTGAAAAAGATAACATACTAGTCACATGAATGGTTGCAACCAAGTATTTTAGATTTTTAAAAAAGCACCTTGTTGGTTGAGATTGTGTGTGATTCATAAAGTTGTACTGTCAGCATCTCAGTCTAGTAATCTGTTTTAATTGACCTTCTAGGGCAAGTCGTTGACGGGAAAGCGCCTGACAGGCCTGATGCAGTCATCCTGACACAGCCTGTGCTGGAGGGGTGACCACCACACAGGGGCCGGCGCACAGACAGTGGAGCTGGGCTGGACAGGGCTGCTGTGGAAGCTCTCAGACACTGCTTCGAGGACTGCTGCTGCCGTACTGGTAGCGCAGCACTGGGCCCGATAGGGTGAACGCCCCAAACAGAACCACTGAGGAAGGGACTGAAAGACAATGCTGACAAGGGGAACCTCAGCCGACACACCACATGGCATGCAGCATACAGTATAAGCACATTCAGACGAGGGCTGCCCTCTTTTCATCACTTAGTCGGCAAACTGGTTGTTAGGCTCTTTGTCGACTAAGCTGATGAGTTTATATTGTTTTCTTTCTGTTTTATATACTGGTTTATTGGATATTAAAAGCACATATCTGGTATTGCAACAATATTCTTTGATAAGAAATACATTTAAAAGTTATTTGCCACAACATTTGCAATGAATTGACTATTGGTTTAGTTATCCTAAAAAATCCAGGGCCAGTCCTAACTCAGACATGCTTAACTAAACACAAGTTCAAAGAGGCACATCAACACAGACACAAATCTACAACATTTTGCATATGTCTCTGCCAGCAATAAATAAAGCCTGAGACCACTTTTTTCTTTTTTAAAGAAATATATTTAACCTTTTTATATCCTTGAAATTTCTATTATATCTGTTCCTTAAGAAGCACACGACATGTCAGTTCTATAGTGAACATAGTTTGGGCAGTAATCAACAACATAAAGTTGTTTTTTTCCCACAAGTTATATTTAATGACGAAGGTTGATGATATAGTTTTCCATGCTTCATTACATTCCAAAATCTGGCATAAGGGCTTAATGTAGCATTCACACTGCACCATTGCACGTGTCATCCAAATGTCTTTGTTGAGGATTAATATTTTGTTTCTACAACAGTGATTTGTAATGAGACGTATGGCAAATATGAATTCAATCCAGTTGACAAATTGGTTCACTGCTTTCACAACTTCTCAAGCTTCAAGTCCCAAAATGTTTAGGCTGCACAGTCAAATTAGTCAATTCCAAAAGTCTGTGTGAATAACTGAGAAGCTTCAACATTTAATGGCCCACATGGTTGTGTGAATCACAGTAATCTGAGGTTTTACTTTAGTCACAGTTCTAGTGTGCATAGTCTCATGTGATATAAAATCCACGTGCTTTTTGGGCTCACACCATAGTGTAATTTTTTTGTAAGTTTCCAGTGCCATGGGTCCATCTAGTGGTGGTTAAACCACAGGACCAAGCAACAGAGTGTTAAAAGACTGTACTAAGCTGTGTTCACATCATATCGAAGGACATTATGATGTCAAACCTAGGTGTTCTCTGATCATGGAGACATTTGAAGGCCTGCAGCCCAATATGGGATCATTTATGTTTTGTTGATTTTTTTACTGCATGAATATCTCACCGTTTGTTTTCTTAAAACAATGAAACCTACCCACTTCTGTTTGGCAAAATGTATGCCGTGACTCTCCACCTAATAATCATCATGTGTTTTAATGACTATGGGGGAAATGGTGCATGTTATTGGACCATAACTTAACAGAAGATGGTTTGACTCTCTGAAGACAGCACGCAGACAAGGGGAAAAGCCCTGAACTGGAACAACGCTTGTGAGAGTGATGTCAAAGCCTTGAAGTGGGAACTGGGAACAATATTTGACCTGTCAGGGACGCAGTACACTGAACATTATGGCCTCTGTGCTCCACTGTGGCTTCAAACTTCTTCTACAGACAAAAAGTGCTTGGACTGAAGAGATTTTAGTCTCACAGCTCCCCCATGAGGCCAATGACAGCTACAGTGATGGACTACACTGCTGAATGAGTCAGTCATCTTTTATTTTCTATTAGTCGTTGCAATGCACTGTACAGGTCATATTAATAATCATCATTATTATCATAAACCAATAACCTCTTGATTATAAGGTAGAGAGAGAAGCTTAACTTGAGTCAATGTACCAAATGTTATTCTCAGCACAAACACAATGACACTATGTACAGGGTGCATTGTTGATGTAAATTGGCTAAATTTCATTATCCAAAAGCACATTTTATTATGATATGGGCACATTACTATGCATGTAACATATTCAGGGCATTTTTGTGCTTTTAGTTTCTCAATCAGCAAGATAACTACTGGCACTCCAAAACACCTGCTATCTATTCATGGGTACCAAATAATAAAAACTCTGGACCTGTCTGCCACTGTTGTGCTGTTCATGAAACAAAAGAAGTCAAATGTGTCTCTTCTGTCTGTGTCGGCTGAGATCTGGTGACCTTTATCAGGTGCTGATGCTAACTGCCACTGCCTTTTTCCTCCATACCACAATACAAGGCTGCAGGTATGTTATGGTAAGTGCAAATGTAAATCACAAAACACTTTTTGGGGTTTTATCCTGATGATTTTTCTGTGTTCACTGCCACAGACTCATTATTTCTGTGCTTGGTAGTGTAGTTGCCATCATCAGTAGCAGTATTTACCTGCTTGCATAAATCAAGCTTAAGCAGGTGGTCCATGCTAGCAGCTATGTGAGGCTGGTATTTGGTCATAAAATAAAATGTTGACATGATGATGATGATGATGGCACTTGAAAAGTATGAAAAGTTACTAAAGTTATTAGAATTCCTCTTGAGGGAGACTGAAATGCCTGCATCAAATTTCATGGCATTTCATCCAATAGTCATCGAGACATTTTACACAAAGCCACAATGTGGCGCCAGAGAAAAAGAGAAAAAGAGTTCTGGGCACCGTGAATGTCTACCAAATGTTAGGGTATTCCAATGGTTCTGTAATATTTCAGTCAGATTATTACCGGTAGGTCATCAAGGTTATCTCAGTTTGGGCTTTACGACTTAACATTTATAACAGAAAGCAAGAAAATAGTGTTACAAACTGGTAGCATGGAATTTAAAAGACCAGGCAGGGAGGGTCAAATGAAAAGATGCTTTGGAGTTGCATTATGGGAAATGTGGGAAGCAGCCATTTTGGGGAGATCTGAGTCATACTGGCATTAAAACTCAGGATATTTCGGCCTTTTCTGCATCAATTTTGATTATCCTTCTTTAAAGTCTGAGTGTCCTAATGGCATGGAAGTGCAATACTAAATCGCTGGAGTGCCCCTTTAAAATCTCCAAACAACAGGCTGTACAAAATAATAAATGAAAAATAACAGTCTTACCTGTGACAGATCTTCATATTCTGGCCTAAAACTGTATCTTGTTTGCTAATGTACTTTATGATTAATGTTCCTCTTAATAGTGAATACACAGTAATTTGCAGCTATTCTCATTATGAAGCTGTTGCTTTGACCTTCACACGTCCCTCTATTCCAAGAAGTACATTAATCTAATGTAGTGATCCAGTTTCATGCTCATTTAAATGCTACTGTAGTGCCATCGTGATTTGACACATTTAACAGGATCCATTGGAAACCTGCTCTCATAACACTATCAATTATATTTATATATAGTCCAAACCTTTGTATTTTATACCTGCATACTACCCATGTAGTTATAGTAAATAATCCATCTGTAATCCCCATCTGTAGACACACACTATTGCTCATATGTGATTTCCACAGACTTACTTGTGATTTCTCAAGCAGCACCTACCAATCAATAAGAGCTCCCTGTGCTGAAGCCTCTTTTTGTTGTCTCGTTCCTATTTAGAGTCCAGACCTACCACCGCTCTCACAAACTTGAGAGCTATTTTTTCCCCCCTCTTTGTCTGCTCACAGAGTCTGAGGGTCACTCCAACCTATTGATCCAGTCTAGAATTCTTCAGCTTATCAGCTGCCTTCTCAAAAATTCCCCGTGGTTTCTCTCAGGAAAATAAAAAACCAGCATCGAGCATTATCGTTCATTCTTTATTTTTTTCAGAACAATAAAAATAGTTTAACAAACAAAGACTTCTTCATTCTCTCCATTTCAACTTGTATTTACAGCTGAAGATGAAACAAACGCCCAGTCATGTCCATTTCATCTCCTCTTGGCTCCGTTCCCACCCTGATCCTCCCTCTCCACTCCCGGCAGGCTTGACAAGAGAGTACCAGGGCCTATTGCTGTGTCTTTGACGAGGTATACAGGCTATTCAATGATTGGTGACACATACTTCGAAGCAGACATCACTGACTTTTGCATTTAGGAGCTTCTCCTTTTGTTCAGAACTGCACCACACTAGGCTTGTTTGTATACGGTAGGTTAACATTGAGCAGGTTTATGATTAATGACACATGCTTTCACTTACTGGCATGACTTTGGAAGATAAAAGACACGACGACCCATTTTACTGTGGAAAACGCCACATAACTGATACAAGAGAAGAAGACACAGATAATTGAGAGGTCTCAGATCCATTCTTTGTCCAGACGAGATAAACTGCTTTGTGGAGGGTCCCTGAGGGAAGTGAAGAAATATGGTTTGAATTCACAAGCACTTACGCAGGTCATACCGGACACATAGGATTAATGGTTAGCTTCAAAAACGGAGCGGCTATTATTACATTGCATCGATACTGAATAATCACATGGAAGGACACAGAAATCTTACACAGTATGTGCAGCCTATGGACCTAAAAGGCTTTTTGATACAGGACTTCAAGCACCTTCTAAATGTCATAAAGCAATTAGGCCCCTCAAAAGCACTCAGCGGAAATGTCACAGATAACGTGGATTTACAGTTCTCACTTCTCGCCAAGTATGTGGATCTGGGCAGAGTTGTGGCTGTCTAACAACAACATTGTTTTCCAATGCATCTCTGATTATTCTCACGGTTATAACAACCTACTCGGACTGTAGATATTGAAACAGAAAGTGGAGAGGTTTTGCATGGCTTGTGTGACGCCAGGCAAAAATCAGCAGAGGCCAGACAAAATTCGAAGCTTGTTATTGCGATGTTTTTTTTCCTATAGCATGAGACTGCAGCATCCCAAAAGCACCCCCCTGGGAGTTGATTATAATGGGATCCTTGTGTGGCGTTATTGTCCCTCCGTGCCAACTGAATACAATCACATGAATCAGGGCTGTGTGGCTGAACAATCAACAGCAGAGGAAATGAAAGATGCCTGAGTAGTTGTGGCTATGGTGCACCTGATCAGGACAGAGGTATCAATACAGTCTGAACAAACCCAAGAAGTCATACTAATTCAACTTTAAAGAGTTCAAAACATAGAAATATTATACAACAGAGAAAAAGATGCAAAAAAATTACTAAATTACTGCGACGCATTCGAGTCAGAGGCCCAGGAAAAAGAGAGCAAAAACAGACAGAGGGACAGAAGCAGAAAGATAAAACCTTTTGCGTCCATGTCAGAGTATTAATACAGGAGTCCAGAGGTCTGCATGTAATAGTGGTGGATTTGAGCACCATGTCTATGGCTGGGGGTCAGGGGGTCACTGGTCCAATCAGGTTGGAGGGTCATGGCTGTCAGAGCTGGTTTCCAGTGCAGAGCGGCAGGCTGGCACAGTGATGAGGATAATGACGTCTTAGTGTCACATCGGATCACACAGCAGACACACAGTCACAGAGCAGGGGCCGGCAGGCTGGGCTGCAGGGGCCCCAAATGCACCCGTCGGGGGACACAAACAGTCCAAAAGGCCTGGTCTTTAGTGTTCCCATAGTTCAGTGGAGCTCCAGCACAGTGCAGAAAGGATGAAATGAAGCTGGATCTACTCACATTTCAAATGTTCAGAAGGGATCGATACATATCGTCAAGGGAGCAGTTGTTTCAATTAAGCCACATGGCCTGTAGAAGTGGTGGATGTCTGTCCATCCATTTTCAGTCCGTTATTTTAGGCCCAAATCAGGCGGGACATGAAGGCTCATTAGTTTTTGAGAATTAAATCCTCTTCTTCACTGGTCACCCCCACTTCTGGGCCACATGCCAATGTGCTGAGTGCTCCTGTAGTGTGTAACACAGACAAAATGGGTTAGACTCATACGTTATATGTCTGAACTGAGTCTACAGCCGTGCTAGCCTGTGAGGCTGTACCGCAAGTGCTGTAAGAGAGGTGGTTTGAGCTATATGCTATGTCAGCACGCTCCAGTTTAGCAGATGTAATGTTTACAATGTTCACCATCTTAGCTTAGCATGTTAGCATGCTATTTGCTAATTTGCAATAAATAAGAGCAGCTGATTGGGATGGAAATGTCATTGGTTTTGCAGGTTTTGGGTCACAAAGCAATAAGGGACAAACTGAAAAGGTGACCTACATGAATGTCCGAACACTATTTTATGGCAATCCTGTAGTAGTTGAAATAATTGATATAATAATAATAAATAATAGTCTGAACCAACAGACACTGCCCTCCCTAAGGCTGTTAGCATGGCTAACTAGAATAATGTTCGATTCCTGTTCTCATTACTACAATCGGTGCAGCTAAAACAGAGATTTTCACTTGTAAAGCCAAATACCACTGAATCAGAGTGTCAAATAAATATAAAACATATTTAGTCCCAATCGGACTTTCATTACTAAAAAAACGACTCTGGCAATCTTTTGTTTGTAACCCAGTATAACTCATTAGCATTCTTTGCAAATCAACATCAGCAGAATTTTTTTAATCCATAAATCAGTAAAAGCCTGGTTGCATACCTTTCATTGATTTAGTCCCCTATATCTGTAAAAACTATATTTATAGGTTTCTTCATCTCCAAACATTTCCAGTGGCCCGTAGCAGTCCTTTCATTGGTTCCTTCATTTTCATACAAGTTTAATCCAGAGAGAGAGCAGAAGAAGAGACCTTCATAGTCACAGCAACTACTGATCAAAAACATCCAGTAGCTCAAGTATGGGTCTGCAATGACATTCAATCTTCTCCCAAATGTACTGCGTCATTTATGCCTTTAAATTTTTCAATTGTTCAAATTTCTCCAGTGTTTTTTGTTCATAACGTTTATGCTCCTTCTGCTCCAGTGAGGGGGGGAAAAAACCTCCAAAAACATCTGTTTTGCATGGAGACCAAGTCACTTGTCAAGAAACACTGACAGTTGTTCATTGCCTTAAAAGTTAATATATATATTTATATATAAAAAAGGTGTTCATAAATTATTCAACAATGTTCAGTAGATAAAATACCACTTGCATTTGTGTCCTGAAATTATCACTTTGTGCTTTCTGCAAACGAAAAAACATTGAAAAAGAAGCAGCAGATTTTGCCAGAGGTTAATCCATGTAAAAAAATGTTGTCTCTTTAAATCTAAAAGCTTCTCTCTATCTGTGTCGGTTGGATATTCCGTTGCTGTTTGTGGCGGGCTCCTCCAGCTCGTCGTCCTCAAAGCCGTGAAAGGTGGAAGTGTCGCTCTCCGAGGTGGTGCCGAACAGCTCCTCTGCTCCAGTAAAAGTCCCGTCTTCCTTTTCTTCTCCGCAGTCAGCTGGCACACAGGACAGGAGAGGAACAGAGTCAGGTGATGGCTAACGAGCGAGAGCACCATAGAATTAGAAGTAGTTAAATCATCATATGTTACAATCTGCATCTTCACATCCACGCTCTTTGAGCAAAACAGTTATGTATCGAATGTGTTTTATACTTCGGTGTATACAGACTCACTTGTGCATCGGCAGGCTGAGTAGGGAGTCCCCGATTTACCCGTTTTCTTGTTCGTGCCCTGGCATTTATTACAGTAGTTGTTGGGAATGCTGGTCCCACCTGGACCCTTTGGACCTATAAGGACATTTTTAAAAAAAGTTTTAGGGACAGTTGATTTTACCTTGAGTAAGGCTGGGCTTGTATTCTGGTAGCCACACAGAAGCAGTACCTCTGTATTGCACCTATTGTACCTTCCTTTGCTCAATATTTGTGCTTTCAAGAACCTCAATAGACCTTTTTCACAGCAGCCATTTTGACACGAAAAAAGTAGGGTACCAATGATACTAACTAAGGCTCCATTCCATTTAGTGTGGCAGAGCCTTTCCAGTGAGCCAACATGCACATTAGTTATGGAACCACCACCTGAATGGAACAAAAACTTAAATAGTATTGTAACAACTGTGTTTGCCCTACTATATCATGTCAAAATGCATACTATACTACATTCAGAATTAATTTCACTTCCTTCATTTGACCTTTAATGTTGAATTGAAGCATTATTTGTATTTTGCAGATTATTTTTCTAATTTGAATGTTAGACATTTTCTATTTTGACTTTTGTCTTTTATTCTTCTAGTTGCGCTTGCTAATGGCTTGATTATGTGGACATATATTTGTCAGGCCTTCGTTGGATTTGCCTCAAGTTGACCATTTTGATTTGCATCACCTGTTCCAATTTGTTGCATTTCATCTTGAAGAGGACAGTTTGCCAAATCGTCCACCTTTTTCAGTTAAAATAAGTGCATTGGCGTTACAAGTGTGCAGCTTTTGAATCCTCTTTTTCTGTAAAATTATATAGTCCAGATGCAACAGTTCTTACGTTTATGTCTGTCAGTCTGTTGTGCAGAGGGGGATCTGGATGCCACTGAGCTCCTCTCTCCGGCTCTCCCCTCCTCTGCCAGGTGGGAATGGGTGTAGTGGTAGCTTAGTCCTGTACGGTTCCTGTAGCGCTTCGCACAGACTGCAACAGAGTGCAGAGGTTCAATCCTACTACTATGACTGGTTGCATTTCAGTATCTAAAAAATTATTATTGGCAACACACCATTTCTAAATACAGGGCTTTTTTTTCCTTTTCTGACTACTTGTGTGTCATCCCCCCCCTCTCTACCCCCTTTCCTGTCTATTCCTCAGCTGTCCTATCTCAAAAAAACTTACTAAAAATATATACATGCAGTTTTTGAATTAGCAGAAAAAACAAAGTGCAATCAGTGATAAAAAAAATAAAAAATAGGGCTTATGGAGTCCAAATGGGACAAAGGGAAGCACTTAAGTGTCTGATTACAACAGTCAGTCAAATAAAACACAAACACAGACAACATAATAACCATGTCTCCGTTTCACAGCAGCAAGGGCACTTTTCAGCTTGAGAAAAGTAAGATAATATAGGGGCTAAATCAATAATCACAGCACTTGTGATACAACCACTCAACAATCCATCAAAACAAATATCCCACTGTCAAAAAGAGTCAACAAGTCGAGGTACCTGAGGTCGAAGACTTTGAGTTCTGCTTTTGTTTATATCTGTCTGAAACAAAGAAGACACAAAGAAAGAGAAAACAGCATGAGTACGTGTCTTTCAGGACGAGCCACAGCGGAGTAAAGAGTAAAATCCAATACCTTCCTACCTGGATTTTCCACATGCAACTTGCATGTACGGAAGTACTTGAGGCTACAGTGACACTAGTTCACCTTGTTTCATCCTGTGCTTCCAGCTCAAACAAACTGTGTTGGTGATTGAGTTACAGTGGGTCAACTTTTCTGACAACAGAAGCCCTGACACTATTATTGTAATAACTTATATACTTATAGTATAAAGCTTATAAGTAAGAACAGGACTATGAGACTTAATTAATAACATATCCTTGAGCCAAAAGACCAATCTTGTCCTTTTAACTTTTTTTTAGTATATGGACAAGATAATTTCCTGCTAGATCCAATTAAAGCAACCAAATTTGAATTGTGAAAGAAATAAATACAAGGAAATTATAAATTAGGTCTGAGATACATTAAGTACATTAGATATAAGTATATAAGTATGTACAGTAACATGATGTTCTATGTACTGAGTGAACAAGCAGTCTTACAGATAACAGCTGATCAGTGAAAGTGATCAAGAGGAATTAAGTGTGTATAAGCTAAGACTATCAAAATAAAAAAGGTTAAAAAAATCTGAGAAAGCAGCAGATTATAGAAAAACCACTATGTTGTAAACTCTGCATTGCACATTCATCAATTAAAAAGATATGACACTAGAATAAACCTCATGTTTCATCTCTACTTACTGTCACAGACGTATGGCTTGTCGTCATCCACATCTGCCTTCCTTCGTCCTGAACCCCGACCCTGAGGAGAAAACATCCGGATACTTTAGCTTCCTGCAGTACAATCTGCATCCAGAGTGATCCAACATGCAGAAGTTGCTGGGTAACCCTTGCATCCCAATGGTGTACAAATCTCTAAGTTTAATGAGATTAAGTAACTGATAATGCAATTCTCAGTGGAGCCCCAGCTACTGTGGACCTTAGAGTAAACTCGACTACAAGACAACTGGAATCTGTTGGTCACTTACCCTTCCTTTGCCCCGGTGTCTCCTCTTGGGAGTGTCCACCTCGTAGTCGTCATCATCATTGAAAGCATCTTCTGCTGCGTCTGCCTCCAGAACCCTCTGAGACACACAGAGAGAGGAATAACTGTTTCAACACTCATCTGTGATTAAAGTAGCAGCTTGCTGAAAACACACTGAGCAGCAACAACAGAGAGGAAGGAAAAATCTATTTTTCAGTTCTCAACACAATCTGGGTGTTTTTGACAGATGTAGCGTATGTTCAGTTTTTATTTATTTCCTGTTGAAATGCTTACAGATCATGAAGCTACTTAAAATGACTGGAGACTGTTTATTTACTGCAGTAATTTGTTTGGTCACAGAAGCATGAATTTAAAAAGAAATAACAGTTTGTCTCGAGAGAGAGAGAGAGAGAGAGAGAGAGAGAGAGAGAGAGAGAGAGAGAGAGAGAGAGAGAGAGAGAGAGAGAGAGAGAGAGAGAGTAAGCCATTATCCAAGCTCTTTGTTCCTGTAAGGACACATTTCCACATGTATATTTACAGGAATGTGTGATGTTGAGATATGACTGCTTTGACTTTGACTCAACAAGAGACAACAGAGATTCAGCAAGTTGCTGAACTTAAGGTGAGGTTTCATATATTTTTCTATCCTTATTTGGGCATTACTTATTGTCATGGATGTATATAACAATCAGTAAATGGGAATTCAAAGTTAAAGCAGTCTACCTGTCCAAAATGCCTCTGCAGCAGTCAGCTAATGAGCCCTGCAGGTGAGCTGGAAAAACTTGGCAGGTTGCCTTGACAACCAGTTGGGGCACAACACTTCACTCTCAGTGCCAGGGCCCTCACCGGTTTGAGTGATATCGCTGAACATTTACATTTTAAACGTTTGGCTGAAGCTCCTAACTAGACACACACACACACACACACACACACACACACACACACACACACACACACACACACACACACACACACACACACACACACACACACACACACACACACACACACACACACACACACACACACACACACACACACACACCTGGATCTCCAGCAGGCTCTCCTCATCATTCTTAGAGTTGTTCCTCTTGTCTAGACCCTCTCCTCGTAGCAGAGCCTCCAGCGTGGTGCTCTGGGTGGGCAAGGGGTCCTTGGACATGAGTCCGCCATCTGCACAAAGACAAAAACAGGCAACACGTGATGAATCATTTAAATACCAGGTCAGTGTGTCTACTTTAAAAAGGAATGCAAACGTGTCCATTGTTCTCTTTAGGTCAAAGTTCCACAGGTGTATAATCAAAGCAGTGGAACCAGTATATTGCTAATGATGAATGAGCTGCACAATTTACAGTCATCTGGCATGTGCTGTTTTTTTCCCTGCATCACCATCAAGGTATAATTGTGACAAGAACCATCAGTACTACAATCTCTGACCTCTGTGAGCAGCTTTCTATCAGCACATTTCCATTATATCTCTTCTCTTCCACTCACACTAGACCTAATAAAAGCAGGTGGCAAATTGCTGGAGCATTTGTTTGTTATAACGTGTCATCTTTTTTTGTGCCTGCAACAGAATGTGTCATCACAACTATTTTCACAGCACCACATTACAGGAAAAAAATTACGTTTTCATTCTGAAAGAGAGTGCATTGTCATTGGGGAGCTGTCAGCGTGCAGACGTTAGACTGACTTTGTCCACAGGAATCTCCGAGGTACAATGTAGTTAAGTGGATTATCACATTAACCTGAACGCATCATGCAGATATCTCTTCCTACAGCGAGCTCAAGATCTAAACAAACAGTGTAGGAGGCAAGCAGGTTGAGCAGACAAAGCAGAACAAACAAAAGCTTTGACAGTCAGTCGATTCTGCAGATCTTATTTACACGATCTCTTCTAGAGACAGCTTCATGGTCATCTAGTTGCTTTGTGGACGTTTGAAAAGAGGACACACTTCAAAGCCCCACTGAATCTAGCTTTCTATGAGCCCTTCATCTTACCCACTATGCCTGCTAGAAATACTTTTGCAGAATATTGAACATGAAGGGCTGAAGCAACAGAAGACTGCATAGGTGAGAGGCAGATATGGGAGGTAGGCGTGAGAAGAACATTCAACACGCTTCCTAAAATGGGCCTCACCACCATGCGGCGGCAGCCCCTCACCATTGTGTCTGCACACGTTGACTTTCAACTCTCCGCGACGAGACAGACGACCCCCCCCCCCCTTCCCCTCCCTTTCCCTCCCTTCCCTTCCCCTCCCTCCCTACCAACCCATGGGAGCTGGGGGGCTAAAAATAGAGCCGGCAGCAGCCTGCAGCAGGGAGCTGATTCTGCATGCAGCCCCAGTCTCTAGCACAGCATCAGTTAGACAGCCAGCCGAGGCAGCGAGACAGACTCTGCTGCCCTGTGCCGGCCACCTCTGGCCAGCCGAACAACGTGCTCCGTATAGGAGACGCCAGGTTAAATCAGAGTACGTTTCCCCTCCGCTGGGCATTCGCAGACAGCACATACACTCCACTGTTGCTGGAAAAGAGAAGGGACAGCAGGGTGGTGGTGGCGGGTTCTTAGTGAGCGCGAGCTCAGTGGAAAACAATGGGCTACAATGGGATGTGTTTGGGAAACAAAGGCTTGGTTCATATGCTATTACTCCATCTTGCTTTCTCTTTCCAGGCCCTCTCCCGCTTTCTTACTTTCTCAACTTTACAAAACATTTATCTTTACAGCGTGCACTGCAGAAATCACATTCTGAACTAAAAGCATCATGACAATGGAGATTTGTATGAAAACACAACAGATTCCTCAAAGCCTATTACAGAAACTACTCAAAAGTGAAAGATGTAACACAATGTTTCGGTGCGAGACTCTCTTTTGTCATGTTCATTCCTGAGGGTAGTGTAACATCCCGTTGGGTATGCAAGCCTTGGGCACAGAATGGACCAGTTACTTGAGCTCAGGAAGACTGTGTGTGCTTTGTAGCCAGACTGCATGGCAGACTATGGGGAGAGATGAGAGATGAAAGAGTTGCCAGAGAGAAAGAGACAAAACCCATCAGCAAGGGAGGTGGTGAGGAGAAAATAAGATAGAGGAGAAGGTAAATGTGTTGAGTGAGCTGTTTCGAGTGGCAGCCAGAGAAGGCCAAACTCCATTCCATAACATTTATTAAATACTGTCTTCAGTGGCCGAACTCTGTCTCGCTGCTCCCAGCAGTGGTAAATCTAATTACATGTTCTACTTCTCACAAAACAAGTTTACCAGCCGGGGTGAACACAGCCACATTTCATCCACTGAAAAATGACTGGCAGCCTGTTCTGCACAGTGCGCTGAGACAGAGCGATATGCTTTTAGCCAGATTATTCCAGATCATCACCAGTAATCACATGAGCTAAAGGAGGTGGTGGAGGTGGGTGGGAGACGGGTGGGGGAAGAGAAACTGAGAGGAGCACCGATCGACGGGCAGGTGGTATTTGCGGAGCAGAGGCTGCGGGATCTTACCGAGCTGGAGGCCGTAGATGCCCAGGCGTGGATCTGTGGTGTTGTGCAGCCGTCTCTTCTTTCTCCAGCAGCGGGCGGGGTATGTGTACATCTGCCCGGCTGCGACCCCTGTACAATAAGAGTTGTAAACATGCCAACCGGACAGTTTCAGCTGAAACGTACTGATAAGAAAAACTGAATAAAAATTCTCAAATTATAACAAAGATTATATAGATTTATTTATTTTTTCTTCATAGAGATTTACACTATTTTAATTCTCAGGCATTACTCACAATTAGTTGATAGTAGTTTTAAATTATTAGTTGACTGGAAGAATTGAATTTATTGTTCAAGTCATTTATAGAGCAACAAGACTAACATGCCTGCAGCCACGCTAGCAGCCCTGTAAGGCTGTACATAGGCACAACGGGGCTTGGAGCTAAATGCTAACATTAGCAATGCCAACATGCTCACAATGACATTGCTAACATGCTGATATTCAGCAGGTATAATGTTTACAATGTTCACCATCTTAGCGTGGCGTCTTAGCACACTACCATTTACTAATTACCATTGAACACAAGGTACAGCTGTGGCTGATGGGAATATTATTTGTTTAGCAGGTATTATGGTATATATGGTAAAAAGTATTTGACTAAAGTGTGTGCCAATCTCGCTGGCACATGTTGATTATAGGCGCTAGAGGAAAGTCATAAAAAATTCTGTACATAAATCATTCATAAGTTGTAAAGATATTTTAGTCTAGACCAAAGTAGTGGAACAACCAACCAGGTGACTGACAGACAGACTAACACTGCCGTCCCTAGAGCCACGTAGCTTCTTGCTGCTTTTCTTTGTTTCACAACATTTTAAACGGAGTATCTTTTGAGTTAGGAGTTTCAGCTATGTTAACATTGAGAGGGAAATTTCTCACAATTTTCTGACATTTTATTAACTAAATTATTGATTAAGCAAAATAAAGCAATCAACAGATTGAAAATAATCATTATTTACAACCCTTGTTAAAAGCTTTAGATAATGGAGAGATCATTTTTACAAGCTTAACAAAAACACTCCGTGTGTGTGTGTGTGTGTGTGTGTGTGTGTGTGTGTGTGTTGTGTGTGTGTGTGTGTGTGTGTGTGTGCGCCCACCGGGGCTGCGGTGGTGTCGTTCCATCCAGATGTAGCAGTTGTTCTGGGCCACACCGGTTTGTGAGTCCAGGAATGGCAGGCGGACGCTGCGTTCAGCACACAAGCGGGCATTGTAGCTGCGGCACTGCTCAATGGCCTCCTTATAGAACTGGTCGCCCAACCTACGAGGGGGGTAACGTCAGGTCAGTGACACGGGATGATGCGGTTGACACAACCGAGTCACTGATGTGGCAGCTGGTTTGAAGAATAACCATGATGTGATTATATCTTTAGAATCTCTGATACGGAGATGGAGCCCTTTTTTTAAATCATGTATGAAAGCCTTGATAACGGCCTGTTGCTTTGCTCGCTACAGATCATTAAATCTGCTGAAGCAGCTACAGAATTTGTACACAAGTCCCTGAGAAACTCCCCTCAACCCACATAAAGCTGTTAACGTCTGTTCAAACTTCTTATCAGGGCTGTTCAATGTAAGTCTAAAACTGACAGCTGTGCTTCTCCCTCCTCTCCAGGCTTGCCATCGGGAAGAATTTGCAGGAAGAAAAAAAACAACAACAATGCAACCCAGTTACAGCACTGCAACGACTCTGCTGCTCCCACTCCTAAAGTTAAACATATTATTACCTCTGTGGGCTCTTTGTCTGATTTGATTCTAGACGGGCTGTGAGCTATGGTGGCACTGACTGAGTTAGTTTATCACAACAACAGAGAATCTGAAGTCAGTCCTCCGATCAGCAAACAGCAAAGACTCTCACACTTTAGTTCCACTTTTCTTAGCACCACTGAGATTTTGGCAGGCCCTCAGGGTCTCACTGTTAATATTCAGAGTGAAATGGGGGAGGATATTTCACATTCAAGCCCTCAATCGCTGCCACACGCCTGGTATGGTAATTAGCCTACTTAATTAATCTCAGCAGAGTGCCTAGCACAAGGGCAGGTTCTAATTTGACTATATCAAAGATGGGGGTAAACGCTGCAACTCTAAAATCATGGAAAGGTGCTTTGTATTTGATATCCAGTCTGTTGTTATATCACAGGTTCAACAGGGCAAATAACAGCTACTGGTTCTTCTAGTATGAACATCTCCACACTCGCATAATGAAGTTCCTCCACGTGTTCTCAATTACAACATTAGGAAGACGGCCATTTTGAAGTGAAACTAATGAGCTGCGGGGCTGCGAGTCGAGCCTGGAATTTTAAACTAGAAGGTAGAAGAGGTAGGAGCCTGATTTGTCAGCGTCTTCCAGAGCCCGCTCTGCCCTCCTTCTGTTTCGTCTTCACCCTGCTAACCCCCTTGACGAGACGACGTCCAGCAGATGAACAGCCGTGTTAGGAATGCTGTCCTAACGCACAAAAGCCCACTGCCTCTGCGGTTCAGACAAAGCCACAGTGTGTGTGTGTGTCTGTGTGAGGCTTCTGGGAAAGAGAGGCTTCGTGCCCGTGTGACTGAGAAGAGTAAACAGTCACAGGTACAGAGCGGGGGGGGGGCTGGAAAGGTGTGAGAAAGACAAAGAGAGAAATAAAAACAAGACAGGGGGCTCAAAAAAAAGACATGATGGTGAGAAAGAAGGTTGAAAGCAAAAACAAGCAGATCATGACTAATAACTATAGGCTTTGTTCTTCCATCCCGGCGTTACAATCACACCAAGATATTGTCTTTATTGCCATTAATGATCATATCACTGCTACTCTCCGCCTTGTAGATGTCATCTGGAGTGTTTCTTAGTGCTCACTGAGCCAAGAAAACACCAATTTCTGACATGTACTGGCGCTCTCTCGCCCTTTAAGATGCAGGAATTTTTACAAGAGGAATCACACAGGGATATACTCAAAAACAGATTGGCCATAAAGCTGCAAGTTCAGAGGTTTGACATCTTCACCGGTAGCTTCAATCAAGGATTTCTTCTGAAAAGACAAATATTTGGCCCATAAAAAATAATGACACGCAGCTGCATAATAATATGTATGAATTGTATTTCTCAGAGCTTTCCCATATGTGGGCTGAGTGCACAGCAAATCCTTGTCAAACTAACCTGTTGGCTTCGCTGCCATTCCTTGATATCAACGCACAGCTCCGATGGGACGCAGTGTGACATATCAGTTTACTAAAAGCACACCAGCTGTAAATGCTCCCTGGAGTCAGCAACGAGTGCGTGCTCAAAGGGTACGCACGCCGCGGAGTGCCAAGAAACTCCCTAGATTACTCGAGGTGAGCAAAGCAAGAGAGGACGCCAATCCGTCTCGAGTGAGACATGAAGGGGTTGGGGGGGGGTGAGAGAGAACAAATAAGTGGTAAAAAAAGTCTTCTGGTGGGTGCTAGCTGTCTGTGCAACGACAAGCTCTCCATCAGTGGCCCCCACCACCTCAGGCAGCAGGTGCACCGGCTTAGGTGAGAGATCTTTCTGACACTTATAATGAGTGACAAGACCTACACAACCACCAACGCCACAGAAGGGAGTGAGAGACACACTGACACATACACGCCACCCCTACATTAGCACTCACTAGTTTTCCCCTCATGTCTGCACTGAGGCACATGTTTCTGATTTTCCACTGTCCTCTGAAATCAAAGACACAAAAGTAGTTTAAGAATAATTCCAGTTTATTACAACTCTGGACTATTTTTATTTACAGCTTTGGCCACCATCCCTATCCATTATGATAACTTTGTACTCATTCAATTTCTAAGATTTGAGCAACATCACTAAAAAAGGAGAGAACAACCCACAAGCAATCTGCAATCATACCAACAAACTGTTAAAACTATTACTCAAATATCTGTTGTAAACATCCGGCGCAGTTTACAAACCAGCTTCCTGGTACAACTTTGACCTACCATATTTATTATAAATGTGAGCACACAGTTTCCTGTACAATGAGGGACCAATATTTCAAATGCACTCACTTTCAGTTTCACCTCTAAATTAAGCGGTTTAGATCAACTGTTCTCAACCATTTTGGCTTGTGACCCCCAGAGCAATGTCTAATTGCGAACTGTCATAACCGGTTGCAGTGAAGCCAACAGGTTGAAAAAAAGTATATATATATTCCTGCTTTTCTAATATGTTAATCATCTTAAGCAACTCAAATTATATATATATTTAAGATAGTCTGGCTAACTATTGGCTTATGTACAAACTAGTTGATTGCTTCACTGCTCATTTCTTTAACCACTGGACTATTTTCCCATGTTCCCAGATCTCAGCAGTTACTTTTGCGAATCCAGTTCTACCAAAACTAAAAGAAACGAAACTACAAAAATAACCCAAGCTGTGAATAAACCAGAATTATCCTTTAAAGTCGAGCTCTGTTTAAAAGAGTGTGTGAAATCAAACCAAACTAGAAACACTTGTGTGCTTTGCAGGGCTCAAAAAGGTGCCTCAGAGGTATGTGTTACACATCCTGCATATCTTCCAGTTGAGCAGAGAAGGTGAGTGTGTGTATGAGGGCGAGGAACAAAAGCAAATCTTGTGGCCAGTGGGCCTCCGCTATCAGCATGTTCCTGTCAACGGTTCGCCGTGTCACATGGCCCCGTCCGTAATGTGAGCATGTGTCAACACTCATTTTGCATATCTGACGACAAAATATAGTTTGCAGGAGGGCGGCTTTGCACAGGCAAAGTGCTCTGCAGTCATGACAAAACTCCAGCGTCTCCTTAAAAAAAATTGTCAAGAGATCGCCGACTTGAAATTAATGAGAAAGAATAAATGTGATCCAAAAAACACAACTTTAGTCTCTATTCAGGAGGTTTCTTCAATTTGCAGGTGCACTGCTCCTTCACAGGAAGCTAGAGCTACCACATAACAAGAGAGGGGGAGGAGGATGAGGATGAGGATGAGGAGGAGGAGGAGGAGGGCCTACAGAGTGACTGCATCCTGACAACAACCTCTGATTACAACCAATCAGAACAACACAGTCTGGTTGAGGGCAGGAGTAAAACCAGACCATACACCTCCACACTGCAGTGCCAATAAACAGCAGGCCTGACTCACCCAAAGTCTACTCAACACCAGCGTCAAGGTAGCCAGTGATGAACGGGGGGGAAGGATCTCGCCGATGTAACGTCAGGAGAGCTGTGGCTGGAAGATGTGTCTGGCCCAAAGAAAGCTCCAGCTGTGGCTAAAATTTTAATGAGCAGCTTTATGAGCTTCTTTATTAATCAAATATTCCAGACTCCATTTTAATAATCAGCAGATTCTGGAGATTACTGTCCCCCCCCCAACCCCCACCCCCATGCTCATAGGAGGGACAGACCTCACACACAGACGTGCACAGGCTTGCACACTGCGGCTTCATCTGCCACATCTCTACAACAAAGTCAAACCAGCGTTTCATTTCCCTAAAGTGAATCATCTTAATACAAAAAAAAGGTCAAACTGGTCCACAGGAGCGACATCCAATTAGTGTCAAGTGTGACTAATTATAATCTGACAAACGTGTGAAATGAAGTCAGAAACCCAAGACAGAGGCTAATTATAGCACACTGAAACACTTCATTAACCACAGTTTATAGCAAGGAGACATTCAACATCAGAATGCTAAAACATCTCCGAGATGAAACAGCAGCTTGACAGCAGACACACACACACACACACTCTTGAAGCACGTTGGGACACAACAGAGGGAAACAGTCCCACAAAAGGTAATAATGAAATGTACTTCCCAATAATTAAAACACAAATGTGTGATGAGAGAAATGGAAGCAGCTACAAGGAAGATATTATTCATTTAACATTTACATCAAGCACTTTAACATCAAGTGCTTCACTGAGCCGTTCAGGTGGCCGTGATTGTATTGGGTAATTCCCCGTGGGACTCTGGGAAACTGTGGAGCAGGGCATTGCATGAAAAGTGCAAGCACGCTCGGTCGACTTGTGTATAAACACAGATTCAACAGAAAATTTCGCATTTAGCCTGCATCCAGAGCATCACGCAATGAGTGTGCAAGTCTGGGGTTGCAAGTCTCTGACCTGGGAGCGTGCAAAAATGTCGATGTCCAGCATCCTTTTTGCTAGGGTTTAGTAACAATGTCACAACAACAATGGCAACAGTGTGGGTGATGTGCAAGGTGTTGTGTGGTCCACTCCCCGTGCTTTACAGCGCACCATGGAGGTGCCAGGGTACCTCTATGGAGGAGCAGATGGTTCTCCTGCTTGTGCCCAACACTTCCTCTCTGTCGGAGCATCTCTCTGACAGATGGGCCCAGGATCCTGGACCAAGCTAATCTCCAGCACTCCTCCACTTAAAGGCACAGTGGAGCGCCTGCTCTACCTCCACGGTCCCAAACGAGCCATGATGGTGTGATAACACACATCAATACAGGCTGAACGTTGGTGCCACGTCCGGCTGAATGTGCGTGGTCACGAAATGTCAAAATGATGATCCAGTTTATGGGTGAAATGACAACAAGCAGGAGGGGAGAGGGGGTGGGTGGAGGGGGGTTGTATCTAACTTGCAGCAGTATGTTAACCAGAGGAATTGGTGAAACAATACAGAAGAACAAAGGAGAAATGGAGAAAAAGGTGGAGCTTTTCTTTGAAGTTGAGGGGTAAAAATGACTATTGCACAGGCCATTCGAGCACAGAGTGACAGTCTATATCCGACGGCGGACTCAAAATTGCTGTCACTTTTGTCGATTTCGCCAGCAAGCATGCAAATACAAAATGCCTCCTCCCTTTGCTTTACCGGGTCCTGACCACGTCTGCGCTCGGAGGAGCCAAAGTTGACATGTCGACAATTCACACCAACTGTAAACGACTTTCGCTTATGTCAGATGATATTCCGCCGCTAACCGAGCACGAAGAAAATCGGCTTTTATTTATTCGGAGCGTCGCAAAGGCACGTTGTCGACAGTTTTCAAATAAATTTATAGCCCAGGAAAGACGACTCTCTCTTGTGTTCAATGTACAACCGGGTGGGGGAAACGCTCTCCCGGTGCAGTCGAAATGTCAGGCAACCTCGCGCACATGTTTAAGACTAAATGTTAAAATCTTGTGGAATAAAAGAACTATACGAGGCTACTTTGCAATGCAAGAAGTACACAAAATGAATTTAGACAGCTTAATCTGCCATATGCACACGACTGGAAATCACATGCACGAACGGACAGTTTTAACGTACAAGTTGGCAACAAAGTAATTAGTCACAAATTTCCTAAATGTCTAAATTACTTACGCTTTTAGTGGATTCTGAATGACAGCCGCCATTTTGCTACAATGTAACGCAATATCGGCGTCTTGCAGTTCTGAGGGAAACCTACGGGAATGAACCAATCACAGCTCGGGGTGAATTCGTGGACCAATACATTTGCAGCATACGCGGACGGGGCGTGGCTTTCTGGGGTAAACTGTCAAAATTATTTTAAAGGGTTTTCCCTTGTATTTATATTGTGTACACTGTAGCAGAATAACAGCTCTTTTTTAAAGAGACCCTTACTGGAGCTCGGATACTATTCAAGTGCATTTCCCTCCTGGCGTACTGAGACCATGCAGTGCAAGTGGCACAGAATATCAACATGGAAGCTTGGGTTTAATTATTTATTAAAATAATTATAAATCATTTATCATCATCAATAAGCACCAAGCAAATAATTTTCCCTCACTTTATCTGAAGCTGCAGTGCTGGAGAGGAATGGAAGCAAGGCTCATAATACACTGGCGTGCACACGATCTATTCCTCCCACATACAGTACAAGTAAGTGGTTTGACAGAGGGAGATTTAAACACACAAACACACACACTGAAGACATGGAGGCAATTCCAGACTATGTTTTTGACAGACGGGAGCTGATGCAACTTTAATCTTATGCAAATCTTCCATCAGTTTAGCAAGTATCCACACATCATCGCTTCAAGTTAGTTTCCAACAGTTTTAAATGTGTCAGTCATCTCCGCTTGATTTGTAGTGTGTAGGTGAGAAAGTGTTGATGATAGCACTCAACCTAATAGAAAAAGCAAAAAACTGGACATCACAAAATGCATCTCTCAAACACCACAAAAGATATATCTGAAGTAACAGACTGCACAAATTTGCATGGGAATGAACTCCAGTACAAGTAATCCGGCATGATGTGTCTCCTATTCTATACTGTGCAATATTAGCAACTCAGAGGAGTGTGTGTGTGTGTGTGTGTAATGCAACATTCAGACAGATTAATCTATTTTGAGACAAGGCAGACACAACATCTTCTCATCAGACATCAGAACCAAAAAGTTCCACGTTTGGAGCAAAGGGAGAATTAACTTTATCTACAAAGCTTACAATCGACAAAGACCCTTTTTTTTCTCACTTTTAACAACAAAATACAAGCATATGTGTTAAAGGCATCACCTTGTGCTTTGACATCCAGATGTGACAGTCTCATTAGCCAATAACTCAAAACTAGCAAGAATGCAAGACAAGTTAAAGCTCTCGGTCACTGAATATGGTTCGTTGCCACATTGGAGCATCAGTTTTTCTGTGTAATGCTGAAAGACAAAAAATAAAATAAAGACAAAATAATAGAATAAAAAGGGTGGTTCACATACAGGCACTACAAAGTATATAAATATCCATACAGTAACTAATGTCAAACAAAAACCAGAAAAATAACATATACAATATCTTTCAATAACAGATGTAAAATAACGGAAAAAAACAAGCTTTGATGTGACAAAATGTGTTGACCTTTGATCTCAGGAGTCCTTATCCTGTCAGACTGTGCCTATGGCAACCTGGAGGCATGAATGTAATTTGTAAAACTGGTCTGAAGACAAATTTGGGTGTTCTTCAGATCTGCTAAACAATATCCAGGCAGCCAAGCAGGCAGCGACTGCAAATATTTAGAGAGCAATTAAAACCAGGGTGTCAAGAAAACTAATTTGAACATCAAACACTTTAAAACATGTGAACGCTGAAATGCCGCTTGGTAAAAGAGTTAGTGTTATTCAGAGACCATCCTCCGAACAAGTAAAAGGCCATGGATTTATCAGACTGTCATGCATGCCAGAGTGCTAATAAGTTTTTAGTTTTTTTATCATCAATACATAAATAATTTTCAACAATTCAAATGTACACTCCTCTAACATAGTTCTATGTCTTCATACAACCACAAATTACATGATAAAATATAAACATTATACCAGCAAGGACACAGTGACCTGAATGATTTTTGGCACACCAGATATCCACAATCTAGATCCACTGTAGTAGATTTCAGCTCAGTTTAGGACAGACTACTTGATCATCTGGATATCTGGATTTTGGCCATGGTAAGCAACAGCCTATAACAGCTGAAAAAGGCTTAGTGCAAAAACTAAAATGTTGCAATACAGCATGCAATGGAACCTGCAGTTACACCTGCACGGATATAAAATATCTCCTTGCCATTACATGTATGACATCAGAGAAACAATGCTTATTAATAAGAATTGCTGGAAACTAATCACACCAACCCCGCAGGGTTCTCTACTAACTAATATTCTTTAAATGATTCACTTTTTTAATATTTTCTGATAGTAGAAAAATAGCTCATCAGCCTTATTTAACGTAAAAGTAGGGATTTGTGTCGATAAGAATCTAAATATTCACAATAATCAGAGTGGAAATGCATGTTTCACACTCAGTCAAGTAACTCACATGTTCTGGCTGTTCTACAAAGGCCACAGGAACTCTGAAATCCCAAATCTGCTAAATGTCCTATATTTGTATTTATTTATATATGCCTAAGAACTTCCTTTCCACAGATACAAGACAGAACCATCAAAGTAACCGAGGTAAAGCAGTGACAGACTGCTAGCTGAGTGAGCGAGTGGTTCTCTCCGGTGCTCCGAGGAAGGAAGGCCGTCCCTGTTAAAGTTCTCCAGGTTTCTGGTTGCAGCTGGTGCACACACGAACCGGGTGGTCCCATCCCCGCGATGGAACCGGTCGGCGCTCAGGGGAGCAGTCGTCACACACTCCTTGGCCACAGGCGCGGCAGTGGTGCTTGGACAGCTTGGCAGTGAACTCGCGTTGGCAGTTGTGGCAGGACAGGATGTCCTGGTCAGGCACCCAGTAGGCAGGACGGGCTGCGTCTTTCACTAGACCTACAGGGGACACGTAACATAAATACACACATACATCAGCACATATTGGTCATAGTATGAGTTAAATCTTTTACACTTATCACATACATGGTAGTTACTTTTAGCATTAAAGTTCAGACATTTAAAGGCACAATTTGACATTTGGGGAAATATGCCGTATGAAAAATTTACTTTCTTGCTAAGAAAATTGATAACATCTTATGTTAGCTACTAGCTTAGCATAAAAACTGGATCTGGAACTACTAGCATGGCTCTGTCCAAAGTATACTATAGACTTACACTATATTTCCTGACAAAGAGTACCGATATGTTTTTGATAACCTGCTAAAAACAGGAGAGTATTCTGCTTACTACTACCTCAGAAGCTTACAAATTAGCAAGTTATATCTTGTTGGTTTAAACTGTACAAAAACTGAGGTGGAAAAACGGCAAGTTGTGGTTTTATGGGGGTTATGTCCCGGACTTGGCAGGGAGCAATGACTTCCCGGAGTCTCTGCTGGTTGCCTGGCAACTGCTCCCGGCCAAGAAATAGTCCAACACATAACCCCCAGTTCCCATCCCTACTGATTAAATACTATTTTATGCTGCAGTACCTACATTTATTTACATTCACTTACTCTATTTTTAATACTAGACTGATGATATCAAAACACTCTCAAATAGGCTTATTTTTCCTCTCTACTGTTTGAAGTACACTGTAACTTCAAGTAAAATGTAAGTCCTTGGCTGTCTTGGATGGGGTATCCATGGAAACATGGAAACAAGATTTGGAAATAAGTAGGCTAATTTTGTTGTGATTGGAGCAGATCTTGCTTGGAGGTATTTTTGGGGTGGTTATGGATATGGAGAAGTTTTCAGCAGGATATCGTGTTATCAAAAACATATTCATCTATACCCTTTACCAGTAAATATAGGTCTGAAATAGGCTTGTGTGGCAGCCTAGTATATGTTAATAATCATACTACTTTGGATTAAACAAATTGTCTCAGGTTTTCGAAATATGATTAAGACATGCGTGAAACAACAACCAGAAGGGAAAATAAGAACTATGATTTGTGGTGTGTACAGCATTTATTCTCGCCCAAGACACTTCGCAATCTCTTCCCAGGCAGCAGAGCCATCTAAAAACACCTTTTTGGATTATCTTGACAGAATGTGTCATATTGGCTGTTACAGAAATGTTCTTCTCACACTGGACCAAAGTGCATTCATTCATTCGTCGGTGGAGAGTGTGGAAGTGACTAAAGCAGAACACTTAAGCAAACTCAAAACATTTATATCACTCACTCTTAAACAAATATACAGCAATGGTGAGTTTATAGCAGGAAGTCTCATAAAATGAAATAAGTAAACATGATTACTGGTACATCTTTCTCACCTTTGCACTAGTCTATGATAAACATTAGGTAGAAGGACCTGAAGAAGATCTGAAGAGATTGTCAAAGGCAGGTTCAGGATTTGTAGCTAGTGTGTGTAGGAGGATTAAAATTTTTTAGTCTTTAAACAATTTTTGTTGGCAAGAAAGTTGCAGACAAATGTAAATTTAGTATTTGAAGATCTGCTTAATGAAACAGATCATTTCATCATCTTAGTCTCTCAACAATAGATAGTGTTGAAGGTATAGAACAAACTAAGCCAGCTTTATAACAACTAGGCCATTAGGCTGTCCCATATCTCTGAGAAAGGCTCCGCCGGTCTCCTGCGTGACATTTTTGAGAGTTCAAACTAGAAACCAGACCTCAATACTCTTCGTTCTTACTGTTAATAAGCATGTTACGCCTCTGCCACCAGAGGGCATTGTATCTATTCACTCCCATTTTCTGGGTCATTTATTCCTGTTACATAACAATCCTCTTTAGGTTTTGTTTTGGGCAACACTCACCAAGTGGGATGTCAATAGCAGTGACCACAACCCCGATGGTGTTGGTCACCGCTTCTCCAACCTTCCTGGCGAGGGTTCCACCTTCTTCCTCTTCAAGCTCCGCCTCAAGCAGCTCTGCATGAAGAAAATATCTTCACTAAAGCGTTCATCCAAGTGATAAACGAATGCATTACACACACAAAAGAACATTTGACATTACAGGGAGTGTGTGTACCTGCGTATGAAGCTCTCTGCTCAAAGCAGACATCACAGACTCTGACAGGGGCAAGACCCCAGCCTCTCTCGGGGACGGGCGCAGCTTTGGAAGAGCAGCCGTCACAGAAGCCCTCCCCGCAGGCACGGCAGTGATGTTTGGTGTCATTGTCCTGGAAGACTGTGTGACACTTATGGCACACCTTGTACAAGAGGAAAACAATAACAACAGAAGCTGTTATTGACCAAGAGCTTGAGAACGCAATCTATCCCAGTTTTATCTTGTGACCTGCACACACAGATTGTGTAATAGGCGCAGTACACCAGACAGTAAACATCCCTCTGGACACCAAAGTGTTGACTTGGCTGTTGGTGGCGGGTGGCAGAGGGTGGGGCTGTGTGTGTCACTCACCAAGATGAGGGAGTTGGGTTTCCAGTAGGCCGGGGCGATCTGATCTGTCAGCCAAGAGGTGACGGCCTTGGCAGGCTTGACACTTAGCTCTGACACAGACTGGGCCACTAGGTTGACTCCATCCAGAAGACGCTGCGCTGCATTGCTATTGTCCTTTAGAAAGCCATCCGACTGCAACAAGCACACAGGTTTTTACTACATAGGTAGATAAATGGTCACCTCTGCCCATAATTAATGGTCTGTATGATTACACATAATTACGGACATTTAATCTCCATCACATAAATTAGTGAAATAGCTTGTTTCTCTTACCCCTGGCCAGACATGCTGGATCTCAGTGCGGACAACTGTATCCACAGGGTCCTGGTTCCCATACCAGTACTGACGGCTCCGATAGATCACTCCGCAGTTGGGACATTCAATAACGTACCTGAACATACAGTAAACACATAAATGAACTCAATCTCAGTGAAATTATAAATGTAACTACATGTTCATCTGAGGTATTATTTGGAACATGTAGGTTAATGTAAAAAGAAAAATGTGATTTTAGTTCAGAGTCTGGAACCCCAGAGCTAAAATTAGGTTCAGTAAAGGTAACCAAAGCCTAGTTACACAAGACCCTGCAGGTCATTCAGCTGAAACTCACCCAGACCAGGCGTATTTGGCGAGGCCCATCCATGGAGAGTCACAGGAAGCCGAGGTCTTAGGGACAACTATAACTTCCTTTCCCCCTTCATAGCAAGCCTAAAGTGATGCACCACACAATAACTTTAACTTTAAACTCATCAGTCATGGAACAAGATTAAGTACAAAGGCAGTGGTATGGAGAAAATGCCCTGCATGAGTGATGCAGGTGAGCTACAGTAGCGTGCTTACCTTACAGGTGTAAATGCGATTATCATAATGGACAGAATAACGACAACGATGCTTTGCCTCATGGCACATTCCTTCTCCTAAGTGGTTCATGCTGTTCTTGCAGCCAGATCTGGGATAACAACAGTATGTCAGCATGTTTAACAAATATGACTGGAGGAGAGATTATAATGGTTACAATATTGAGGGTACTCACCCACAACTGAGGCACAGGCTGGAACAGGTGAAGTACTCATCAGGGAAGAAGCAACTGTGGGCTACAAGCTCACCTGCAATTTCCCCATTGAAGCGCTCACTCAGTGCCTTTACAAAAGTCAAGGATGAGTGGAAGTTAGCTAGACCCAGACAGACCCTCTTCATATTGTGATATTGCATAGAAACAATGACTTTTACAGTAACATGAAACATATAAGCTTAAAACATGAGCTGTTCAGACTTAAATAAAACCATCTTTATCTGATTCCAGCCACCAGTTTATCAGCAAATTGTGTAACAGTTCGGTACAGAAACAGGTCTGAAGCTGGCTGATTTTATACAGCCCTACCTGCAGAGCTTTGAAGATGACCATGGGGGTGCGTGGGGAACGGGTGGCGTTGTTATCCAGGAGCTGCTCCAGTTTATTCTGCAGGCCACGGAAGTCAGTGGGGGGGTTGAGAGTCTGCGTGCCCCAGTACTGGACGGAGCTGAAGGCTTCTGGGAAACGGGAAAGCTTCTTGAAGCGCTCCAACAGCAGCCGATCTACTGAGTCCAGTGATTTATCTAAAACAAGAGGTTACCATCAGTGCAATCAGAATATACTGTAGATATTCGATTACCCTTCGCCCATCAGCGCTTACATACACAACACAATTGTGTGTTCATGAAATATTAAAGCGCCAAGAATGTTGCTGCATCAGCCATCAGTCCAAATAAAACACACACTCCATAAAGCTATGAGCCAACACCCAAGTTGTGAACCAGTGTCCCTTCAACTTTTAACACATTTACCCTTCAAGACCTAGCATATATTTTGTGGGGTTTTTTTCTCCCTCATAAGCAGTGATTTGTTTCCATACATTTCTATATAGTAAAAAACAACTTGTAGAGACTTGAGTGGTGTAATACACCACCGGTAATATCATGCCTTTAATTTCATTTCCGTCAGTTATTTTATAGCTGCGTGGTAATGGAGCACACTTTATGAACAAACAAAGACATTTTTTGTCAATATCATTTGCAGCAACTTGCCATTGTCTTTTAAGTGTGTGACTACAGCTATAAATATGTGTCATTTTTGACTACACAACACATTATGCACAGTTTTCCTTCTAATCCAAAAAGTAGTGTTTACACATTTCACAAAACCTGGAATGCCGATTGCTACCTCCGGTGATGTAGAAGAAAGAAAGATAAAACACTGTAGGCTAATATTTGCTAAACCTGCAATTATCTGCAGATTCTTAACCCTTTGTTTACTTTAAAGGCACTGCCTCTTGTGCCTTCTAGTGATGCAGACCTACATTCATGGTGATGAGACAGCCACAATGTATTGTTCTAATGGAATTTTTTAAGTAACCTTCTATTTAAGCTTTGACTTTAATAAACGTGTAACAAATTAAGTCACTATACTCCATAACTGCTGAGATATTTTACCTGAACCAAGTAACTTAGTGTGGACGGTTTCATGGAAGATGACCACCGCAGGGCCCAAGGTGGACAGTGGGACATCCAGGCCACAGCGGGCTGTTGTGGCCTTTAGTTCCTTGGTAAAATGCTTCAAATATGCATCTGAGGCATCCCCGAGGAACTTGAAGAGGTCGTCGTGGAGACGGTCAGCGTGGGTGCGGTAAATGATGAGGTCGGAGATGGCGAGCACCTTGAGCAAGAGACGGGTTCTCTGGCCCTGTTTGGAACTGTTCCCGAGCAGCCCCTCTGTATCGATGACCACTACTTTACGGATGGGGTCAAGCGCTGCCCACACGCCCACCGTGCATGACTCTTGTGTGGGAGAAGTCTTGAACACTTCTCTGCCCATAAAGAAAGTGTGGTTCAGGGTGTGGGATTTGCCCTCTCCTGTGTTGCCAAAGATGGACACCACTTTCAGCAGCTGGTCAGGGTCGCAGCTCAGGCGCTTTATAAATGAAGTTTCATCTTTTATCTTTGAGGAAACAGAGTTTCAAAGTGAAAATTAGTTATTTAAATTAACAAAATGTACGGTCTAAGCAAAGAATTTGATTCTCTTTTGCTCACTCACCTGCATTTCCTCATTCTCATCAACCAAGAGAAAACTGGAAACCTTCTCCAGAAGTTTTGCTATCTGAGATTTGGTCCCATCGGCTATTTGGACAGCGGGCAGGACAGATGTCTGGACAGAGTTGACCACTGCAGTTTTGGGTGGTGGAGAATAAGATGTGAGCTGGTGTTTCTTCTTGTTGCCTCCACTGTGGGTTCGTTTCTGACAGTCTTGACACAAGTTAACTTTGCAGTTCTGGCAGCGGACCACAGATCTATGGCGTTTGCCACTGTCTCCATTACCTCCTTTACAGTTATCACAGTAAGGGACATGCCCAGGACCAATCTGAACCCGCTCGTGGTTCTTCAGACGCTCCTGGTTGTGGAGCTCGAGCTCGCACTGAACGCACTGCAAGCTCTTGCACTCATCACACTCAAATGCAGCCTCCTCAGAGCCACCACAGGAGTAACTCTCTTGACATATTAGACTAGTATTGACTCCCTTTTCTGAAGATGAGCCATGCCCACTCATCGTTTCTTACCAGGTAAATACAGAGCAGTGCCTATTGGAACACCTTTGACAACAGCCCCAGCAATTTCCAATAGCAGTTAATGGGAAATGTATAACATGCAGTAATACTGACCACTGAAATGAACAAATGCAATGACTAAATCAACAGCTGCATAGTAACAGGGCTGGTGATCCGCTCACTTTAACAACTAAGTTTCAACAACAACAACAACAACAACAATACAATCTATCAAATTACTTTTCGCAGCATGAATTTCAAACACTTCAAACGATTTTAATAACAATATTATTGAGTGCAACTAACAGTGAGGCAATGAAAGATAAACAGCCGGATCCTTGAGTAACACCTGATATCTTTATACCAGTTAGCTTGTTCGTGTATTAAAGTTAGCACTTAGCTGCAGCATGACATGTAATACATCTAAGGTCAGCGAATAGACCAAAATAATACAGAAACAATATGCAAGTAGCTTGTACCAACCGAGACAATGAGCTCTCCCTGAAAAGATGAATGTGCAAATGTTGATGCTAACAACAGGCTAACTAGCTAGCAAACTGACCCTCAACAGCTCGCAGGCAAACTCGGCGGACAATTTGGCAACAAAGCAGCAGTACGTGGTTTACAGCGAGTTGGTTTCGACGAACAGTTTGAACTTTTTCCCAAAGAAAAAACTGTAATTAGCGAGCCAGCGAGCTCTAACAGTACACAGCCGTCCTAACAAGCAGCTAGCCTCCAGTCTGTCAACTGAGCTGTAACAACATATCAACAAAAACAACAGCCAGTCGATGTCAAAAGCTCGGATGTGCGCGGACTGTTTTTGCTGTCAAACGGGAGGGAAATCCGCGCGAATCCGTTTAAAAAGTCTTTAAAAAGTGTTACTGTGTTTGAATCCTTCCGAACAGTGTCATTGTTTTGTTCTTCAGCCCCCTCCCTGGCAGATTTCTCTAGCTACGTTATTTTGTTGCCAGGTCAGATCAGCTGATCAGATTATTTTCAGTCACAGGGTCAGAGGAGGGTAAAGAGCGGTTGCATGATGGGAAACGTAGTTCTGCAAGCTGCGAGTGGTCCAGGTTGAGTAGACGATTTCTGTGCAGCTCCCAACATGTGTATATATACTTATATATATTATTGTTTATGTGCTCATAAATTGCAGCTTTTTTGTTGCTATTTTACTACTTTAGTTTTAGTTTTAGTTTCAAACGGTTACTGCTATAAAACCTAAAACTCACATGTCAATAATTGTTGAAGAGGGGGAAGTAGGTCACACCCTTTCAGGCAGGCTAGGAACTCAAAACCAGCTTAACCTCTTGGACTTTTACAACCCTGAAGGACAGTAAAATACCACCACCATTATTTATTAAAGAGTAAAGGAAGAAGCACAGCCACATACAGGCTATGTAAAATACTACCATCCAGGTCTGAGTTAGTATAGCAAATACATCTGAATTAATATTATCTTTTGTAATTTTTTCTTTTGATATCACAATTATTTTTGGGCAAACCTCCGTTACTGTAATTAGGGTTAATACATCTTTAAAACATAATTTTACCAAAGAAAAATCCATGTGGGTGGTTGGTTTCACAGTAATTGTTTAAAAACCTGCTTCAGTGTGAGCTTTCAAACAGAGGGTGGATTTAAATGGCTTTTGTCTTGTAAAGTAGGACTTCAAAGAGTCAGCAGGTTACCATTTGTCCCAAATAGCACTTTGTGTTTTCCCTCCATTTCTTCTCTGACAGTATGTTCTGCTGTAGGATCTGCAGACTGTATGTCTCCAGATGTATTCATTCAAGCACTGATTTTTTTTTAAAAAACACAGCAATTGGCAATTAAATATGTGTAACACTGTACATTTATTACAAAACTTAAACACACACACAATCACACAAAAATATGAACAACAAATAAAACATGAAAGCGAGGACAGGAAAGTAGAATATGTAGCCTATAATGCAATGAGTTCTGGATAGAGATTGTCACATTTCTTACAGGATGGAGGTCAGAGCAGGTTCCACACTACATAATAAAAATGCATAATTTGTCCCAGAAGTCCCCAAACAGACCATGTCCACCAGGCTGAGTACATTCAGTCCACCGGTTGATTCCACTTCAGATGAATATTTTCCTCCACCTACAGTCACAAAAGGTCTTCAAACGTTTAAGCAGGCTGAGCTTTTTAGAGTTTGTGCCAGCGTGTTTGTGTTTGATGGCAGCAAATATAGCATGGTCAAACACATCTTTGAGGTTGTGTTGTGTCAGAGCTGAACACTCCACATAGTCATGCGCTCTGATCCTGTGTGCAAGCCTTCTGGCCCGACTGAAGTGCACTGGTTTGGTGCTCCGCTGGTCCAGGTGGATGAGGACGTCCACATTGTGGCGAAGGTCTGACTGAGTCCCGACCAGAAGTATGGGAGAGGTCGAGTTGCCAGCACGGATCTGAGGGATCCATTTGGAGGTGATGTTGTCAAAGGAGATAGGGTTGACAAGGCTGAAGCAGAGGACGAAGACATCCACATGGGCATAGCACAGAGAGCGAAGATGTCCAAACTCCTCCTGTCAGATCAAATATAAAGAGAGATGAGGAGGAACCAACTAAAGAAATCATAATGTGGTGTGGAGTATCTACCTGGCCTGCAGTATCTATCAGCTTGATACGAGTTGGAATTCCATTCACATGAACCAAACCTGGAAGTCAAGTAGAAATAAGTTTTAGTGCTGAGTCAAGCAGCCATTAACATTTAAAGAAGGACCTTCACTCACCAGTGAAAACATCAAAAGCTGTTTGTCTGTACTCGCTGTTGTATCCATTGAAGATATAACTGATGATCATGCTGGTCTTCCCCACGGCTCCATCACCAACCAGCATGCAGCTCACTTCTTCCCTCAGCCTGTTTGCTTTGTCATGTCTCTGACAGGCCTGGGCCATCTTTCCTTAGATTATGACTCCATTATCACAGCAGTTTAAGTCCTCGCAGGAGTGAAGCATTACTGTAAAAGATGTCTTCTCCCCCTGGGGCCCGTTGATGCCAATAAAGGCGAGGGGACACCTCGATTTGAAAGAACAAAGGCGCCCAATCAGATGAGTGATGCCCCAAGACTTTGGCTGTTTCCGTTTGAAGCAGATTAACATAGTCACTCCCACCAGTCCTGACCACTGCATCATCGGATTTATGATAAAGAACGAACTGATAATGAGATTTTCTGTCGATAAATTATTGTCAATAAAGTTGTAAAGCGCTTTCTATCATATATAGAGTCCAGTAGACTCCTACTGCATGGGAGATTATTATTAAATATTGTACAGTAAAAAAAAAAAGTCTTTAAAAGCAAAATCTTGTGAAAAAGTAGTCCTCAGGCTGCTGTGTCGTGTTAAAAATTCGCGCTGCTTGTACTTTTCCTTCGGCGTGTCAGAGTCTGTCTGTTAAATAATCAATTTTACTCAATAATTGGATGTAATACCATTATTGGTCCATAGAGGGAAGTGTTGCTCCAGAATCAGCTTTTGCATGTTGGCGTGCACCTTTGTCCAAACAAATGCTGCTTTTTACTTCTTGTACATTTCGTCTTCCAAGCTGGTGTTGCACTAGGTAATACAACTTTTATATGTATAATATGGAGTGGCTTCTGTATTTTGGATTTTCAAGTAGGACAATTGTGCTCAGCCAGCCTCACAAAAGATCTCTTTTTGGTTTCATAATCTATTTCACTAACTGTCAGCACAGCTCTCAGGATCAATGCTCTCTAAACATCATATTTCAGTAACTTGGCCTTCACAAACATTTTTAATTTTCCCACACTTGTTTGCCCCGTGTCGTATTGTTCACGTGTTTTCAAATTCATAAAATCATTTTTCTGAAAGCACTCAAAGGCAGATTTATTCTCCCATGTAGAAGGGGCAAAGGGCACAGCTGAGGGGGCATTGTTAGGCTGTCAGCAACTGCAGTTTATTGCAGAAACTTCATGTGCCATGTTTCATCCTGTCTTTTTCAGGGTGACTGGGTTCATAAATACACATAAATAATATGCTTTATTAACTGAAAATAAAATCCTCAATACCCACATTTAGATTACACTGTAAAATAACTTCCACTAATGATAATAATGAATCTTTAATAAAACTAATTTGGAATGTGCACTGTGCAATGACTAATGCAGCGCTATATGCTCAAAGGACTTCTCCGCCTGGAGTTAAAGTGTGAATGAATTGTTCTTTCTCAGACAATCACACTGCAATACAGTCTAAAAGAAGTTCTGAAGTTCTGATTAACACTATTAATCTTTAGTTCAGTAGACAGTTTTACTGGGATTCTTGCTAATATCAAACTGAACTTGTATTTCTGGTGTGGATCTTATGTGACTACTTATTAGAGAATGTCTACTCAAAGTGTTCATTTGCACTGTTTGATATTATTACGTCGTCACTCCAAATTTCGATCATCCATTTGATTTGTGGGGATGGAACTATTAATGTAATGATGTTACTATTCTCCGCTCAACATTAGAAGACATGAAAATGACCAAACTACCAATACCTCAACCTTGTACTGTCTCTTTTGCATTGAATTGCTTTTGGTGTGCCGATGTAGGATTTATGATTTTATGAAGACAAGAAATGTGCAGATGATGATGCTTAGGATTAAGCCTTCCGATCACACAGCAGTGCTTATGTCTGGCCCCTGACTTGAAGGCCTACACTGTCATAATGGTAACAATTACAATGATTATAATAATCATAATTGGAAATTGTCTTATCGTATCGTATTTTGCTTTTATTAAATTCATTACTGCAGTTATATTGTCTTGATATATTAGGATTTCTCTTCTTTTTCAAATTTGAGAGCTCAGAATCCACATTTTCTGCCCTACATTATCACAGCTGTACTGCAGAAGAATGGTGCAAGAATGGTAAGATGTGGTTTGAGAGATCGGGAAACGTTTGTGGGTGAAAATACAGCTTTAAACAAAGTGTTGTTCCTTATCTGTCTGAGCCTGCAGGAAACTCTGCGAGCATTGTGTTGTAAGGTCTCGGCTTCCTGTTTGCCGTTGTTTCTCACTCACTCGTTCTCTTCTCCCTTTCTCTCCCACTTTTTCCCACCACCTGCGGTGTGAGTGATAGAGTTTATTCCCCATGGTAGGAGGACAACATCTGGTCCCCCCCCAAACCCCCCCGCCCGCACGACACACGTCATGTTGCCAGCTCGGCTCCCATGCTACAGCTGTGAGTCACAATGCTGTTCCTTAATCCAAGGTAAATGTCAAACACAGGAAATGGTCTTTAAATACCTCTACATCCAAAGACTCTTTTTCCTGTAACAGCCACTTTTATCATCACAGATCAACCAGTGAGCTGCTCTTCAGTGTTACAAATGCAAATTCAGGAATTGTGCAACTGAATGCAAATGTGTTTGCAAGGTTTGCATGTACCTTAACTTGTGCAGCAGATGTCAGCAGTGTGCTGATGTTTTTAAACAGCGCCTAGAGATAATCAATTGGGATGCATATCTTGTACTGTAAACATGTTTTGTGACTGCATTCTCACGCTCTCTCTTTTTGCATGACTAGACATGCCAGAAATGTATCCTGACACAGATTTATAGAGGTAATCTGCTTAGTAAGGGTGTCTCAATGTATGCAGCTTAGGGAGAGCCCCCAGTATACACACAGCACACTTCAAAATTCATCTTGCTGACTGTCTGACTCCTGTGAATGTATGCAAATATATACTATGATGAACTTAAATACCCCTCATGTCTCCCTGAAGTATTCCTCTGGTCGTTAAAAAGTAAACATAGTAACTGACTCAAGTTACTGTCGCATATCAAATCTGACAACAATAGAGATATCTGCCAGATAGGTGTTAAAAGATTATGCTCCACCCTAAGCCAGAGATAAGCACGGCACGCTGTAGACAGGCCACAAAACAAGTGGCTGACACGGAGATGAAGTGATAAACAAGCCATTTGCATAACATTTCCTGCATAATGTCTCTTTAAGTAGATATTGCCATGGCTCTTAAGTAGTGGGGATTAGAGCAGGATGGGTGCTTTCATCACACGAAGATCTCAGATAATGGAAACGTTTTCCTTTCCTTCTTTAGTTCCTAGGTGTGACTTCAGCGTCATGGCTGGAACACACTGTCACTTTTTTATACATATTTTCGACATAATCTCTGTGATACTGTTTACAGCCTGGTGTCAAAGGTCCTGACCTGCTTGCTTGAATTTGACACAAAACACAGACTGTGGTGGATTAACCTGTGATGACTTGTACTTACTCCCATAGAAGTTTTTTTTATCCCTTTACTGATGCACAACAGAGCCACATTTGTGCATGTTCTGCCACAAAATATTACTCCACATTAAATAGACTCTAACTTAAGTTTCACATTTTACACACTTGTAGTATAATTACACAGCATGCTATCAGAGCAAAAACAACACTAAGAGTCTGCATGCTGTGAGGCTGCAGTGGTAGACCTAGTAGTAAAGGCTAAAATTAGCATGCTAACATGCTCACAATAAAAACACTAACATGCTCATGTGTAGCAGGTATAATATTTACCACGCTCATGTTTTAGCATGCACTAAGTAGCACTACACACAAAGTAGCCTACAGCTTAGGATAAAGGGAAGGTCATAAGTTTTGCAGGTATGTAGTAAAGATCTTAAGTATTGGGACAGATATAAAGATTGACCTGATGATGACTTTGGACGAGTTATTACAACTCATCCTGAGGGTTACACCATGATTGTGTGTGCCAAATTTAATGAAAAACAAACAATAACCACTAACAACTGCTGTTTTCAAAAACCGCAATGTAAATAGTGGTACTTTAGGAAAAGTCAGGGTATCCCCAAAGTCATGAGGATTCATCCTCTGAGGACCATGAATGTCCAGAGTTCATGGCAATCCATCCAATCATTGAGCTGCTTCGGTCTGGGACTAAAATGTATAATACTATCCAGAGTGCTGGTTTGAGGTTTGGGGTTTCTACTCCATGAGAGTCATACAATGTATCTCTCCAGTTTATTAGCAACAGGATACACCCCCCTTCCCAGGTTAACTCGAATTCTCGCACCTTGTGGTCACTGCACCAAGTGATTCATGGGAATTCAGACCTCTGTGGATATCCCCCACCCCTGCCCTAGCTCCTAGCTGACCCCCTGTTGTTCACATTCTTGACTTGTGGCCAACTATTGCAGGAAAGCATAAACTACGTCTGTGAATACATTGTAATCGTGTGAATCAGGATATACGTGGCTTGCCTTTTTTGTTGGATCAGTCCATTTGCAGTTAATCTGAATAAATATTATAAACAGCATTGTATAATTTGGATCTGAACCAGCTTAGGGTAAGTCAGGATGTCCCAATTTTTAAGTAAAGCCTAAGTGTTTTTGGGCTTTTGTTGGCCAGCAAGCATCCCTGTCAATTTAGTTACTCCTGCTCCATTAAACCTTGGCAGGGGTCCAGGAGCAGCGGACTAATCCCACTTTACCCTCCAGAGAGCATCACAGGGGGTCTGTCCTCTGGGCCTCGTGGGATATACAGTAGCCCTGCTCCTAAATAGTCACACAAGTATCCTTCAGTTGATCAGCTTGGTTACTGTGGCCATGGGAACATGTGTTTGAATTAATAAAACATTGATTGATTTAACACATTTAAAGGCGAGTTGCAATTTGCATCTACACCGTTAGATGCCACTAAATCCTACACACTGGAGTGATTACAAAAACTTGTTATGCATTTGTTTGTATGTGTTTCCAGGCCACTGTCAATCAAATCTGATTTGTTAAGAGATGATGACTAAGTTAAACAAAATAACATCTCAGTCTGTAAATACTTTTTACCTAATAGTTTGGCATTTTATAAAAACCCTTATTTGCTTTCTTTGCTGAGTTAGATGAGTTGATTGATACCCCTGTCTTTAGGTGTCAATCTTTAATCCTTATCTAACTCTCAGCAAGAAAGTGTATTTCTCAAAATTTCCTTGAACAGTATAAACACACAGGAGAGGAGTTTTTAACTGGTTATGAACAGACTCTGGTTAATATTAATGCCTCTATATGACCTACATAGACAAGACCATCAGTTAGAATATTGGCTGATTTTAATGTAGTA